GTTCGATAGCTTCTCGAAACTAGTCGTTTTGTTTTATAAGTCCGGTGAACGTATACCGCGCGGAGTTTCCGCACAGCATAGTACGGAATTTAACGTATCAACAATACGAAGTCCGTAGTTTACACCTCCCCACAGAACGGGAAGTAACTAAACTTAGAAGCCAAAAGCCTGGATTGTTGTTGGTTCGTACGATGTGTGTTCTCATCTGTGGTGAAACCTGATACTATACCTGTTTACAAGACTGTAATAAATCTGTTTTGTTATGAGTTGGTATACTTCCTTCAATCAATCCGGGACTCATTTAGTTATTACGGATTTAGTTGGGTCTGTCACGTCCAGATGGCTGTGTGGAACCGCCCCTCATGTGTGTATGTTAGTCTTATGTCTTTACATTGGGTTACAAAAAAAAATCTCGTCAAGAATGGGTGATGGAGTCTAAGATTGAGGAATACGAAAGCCGGAAGGCGGCGGGCAAGGAACGAGCGTTGCTACAGTACGCCGAGTACGAGTGTCGTGACACGTGCTATATTAAAGGCCGATGTGGGATAGGACCAACCTGTTATTACGAAGTGGCAAAAATTAGCTGTGGGGGTGGACAGAAGGTTTGTGAGTAGCGTGGAGTAGACGGGCTTTTACTACGGTTTGATGGAAAATCGGACGCCGCTTGGTAAAACGGAAGATTGTTTGGTCGGCCCGTTAACGTCCGGACAGACGTAAGGACATCGCGGAAGTCGGTCGATTGTGAGGCATGAGAATACGTAAGCAACTAGCGGCTAATGACCTGGAACTTACACAGTGAGACCGGGTAGTTCGTGAGTTGTACCCGCGCGCTGAGTTATGTGCCTACAGTTGATGTGCAGAGACTTCGATAAATGAGACGTCAGTGTCGTTTGTTGGACACGCACCGAGGCCCGGCGACCACTGGCACACCGGCATTCTTCTGGATTTGGCGACCTAGTCAAAGGCTGATAGTGGAGGAGACACGTTTTGGGAGCTACACTAACCGGGACGTCCTGGCGTCTCGAGCTCATTTCGCCTTTTCCTACGTCTGCACGAAGTCCGTCGAGGTAGCCTGCCCCTACGTCGGTCGCATATCCTGCCGGGCTCGTAGTGAGAGCACAACAACAAAAACAAGTCTGAGTAATATTTCGTAGAAGACGAAATTCCAAGTGGCTTCACCCCGTCAATTCCACTGCGTACAAACCCGACGGAAGCGATTATGTTAGGGAGGGAGTTGTTGTGGGTTGAGGCTGTGGGTAGGAGAGTCCTCACGTACCGCGTACAACTGGTCTTAGTACTCTTCGCAGAGACTAAAAGAACGTTTGGTTCAGAGCACAGGTTCTCCGTCTAGGCGGTGCTCACTGTACTGGCGGCGGCGACGGGAGACTACTCTCGGACTCTCCTCGCCCCGCTAGAAACCACAGAGGGGGAGACTACAGACTTCAGTGGCTGGTTCGAGGGGCGCCCTACGGCGCGCACTGTGGTACGCAGTTAGACGGAGGGCAATACACTCCTCCTCCCCCGGCACACCCTAGGCACGCCCCTTACGCGTAGATCCTAACATCGTATGTGTGTTGACCCGTGCGTCTTCACCTTATACTCCTCTCGTTTCGACGCAGCTGTGTCACGAGTTTGGACGCGCACACACAAAAGTGTAGACACCGGGAGTAAGTAATTCATGGCTTCCTTGCAAGATGTTAATCGACTAAACCAGCTAGTGAAGATTCGTTTTCATCCATAAGAATTCTACAATAAATCCTCCAATAAACTTCGGAGTCCACACGAGAACTACTATCGTTACACGCGGCATAGCTCTCTAACACGCAGCTTTGTGAGTACACACCCGCTCGGCATTTTAAATGATTATCATCGGAAGATGTCAGTGTGGTAGAACAAAAGTGAAGCGATAAAGATTGAATGCGAAAACAAGAGGTGGATCCGCGAGGCATTTGGTCTCGCAGACCATGAGTCTCATAAAAAATGATACTTTCAGTAAGATAGAGCCAGACGCTCGCACTAGTTAGAGCACTAGAAGGTCATGACACAGACATTTTACATTCAGTTCATCAGAAAGGTCAGATACACAGGAATACATACTAGATAGAAAACTAGATGCAGACTACAATGGCATACGTTACCATTACATTACATCTTCATGATCGCAGCCTCACGAACCATGCGACACTCGATACACGATAAGACAGTATGAGAATGTCTTAGTCCGTAATACTCGTGACTAAGCCTACGGAATGGAATACTCTTGTCAGGGAGAATTAGAATATATGGACATCGTAACACAATATAGACGTCCAGAGATCACAGATTACCGCACAAATTTCACCGAAATTCCGTATCATATCCAGTAAGAAACAGAAAAAGTCAGAGGAAGGTTACTAAGGGTCATTTTGAGTAAGACTCGGACTTTGAACAGCGGAAGAGGTTCCCCCTTTTATCGCATACATCGCATATCTTAGTCATACTCACAAGAAAACAATATAAAAGTTAGGTTGGAAAAACGAAGACTTTGCCCTACTCACATATCGGTCGCCTATCAGTCAAGGACTACTTATATTATATAGTCGAATGTGTGACGTACACAATAATACAAAATTTACTAAAGTAGTTGGTTTATTCAGAGAAGAACTGTTTGGACTCTAGAATTATAAACGAAGATGGTTACTTTTATGAGAGCGTGTAGCCCACCGTGCCGTAGAGCGCAGGGAAAAAATGCAGATATGTTCCGATGTGTTCTTTTGATAAATACAGTAATTGTATGATAATCGAAAGAAGACGGAAGAGGTGCAAAGGATGTCCATACACTCAATCTAGTCTCCCTTAAGAACCTTGGAGATAAAGTATTTAGTGTAGACCTCTAGTTACGCGAACTAGTGTTGGAGTTGACATACGACGATACACTACACACTCTTTTAGAAGATTAACAGGGAATCAACGAGATACCATACTACGAGGTGTATTACTTTTGTGGGCGGGTGATAGCTCGAGAGTAACCGCCATAGTATACTCAGGAGACGAATGGAAGGCTTCACAATCGTGATAGGAAGGGCTCCTCAGACTTAGGAGTGAAGAGACTTGCGAACACACTCAGGGTTTGAATCTCTCCTCCGCTTTCTCTTTATCAAAACAGCTCGGAGTCGAACTCGAAGAGGTGCAAGGGAGACCAACGACACGTAAGACTAGTCTTCTCATCAATCAAATCCTCATTGTCTCTTTGTTCTCCAAGAGTAGTTCGTCTGAGAGGAACAGGTACGTTGGCGGACTGTGGGTGATGGACGGGGTAGACAATGAGAGCGGGACGGGCATCGTTGATTCTAATGGGTGCATACTCGACTACGTCTAATTCGTGCTCCTTAGTGTAGCGACTCTCGAGACTTATTTCCTGTCAGAACGTGCGGATAGATGACGTTAGACAAGAGACGGTCGGTAAGCTAGGATTCTGGGCTCGGTCAGTGTTATCCACCCGCACTTAAAGGGTTGAAATCGCAAGATTTGTTACCACACGGCCACCCAGCCTGACAAGCCAACGTTCGTCTCAGCATGTGTTCCCTGACACCTTTTAGCTCGTAAGGGTCCTCTTAATGTTGCATGCTAAGGGGGGAGACTCGCTTCTACTAAGCAGGAGGTACCAGACGAGAGGACAACAATTTCGCGCAGGTAAGTGGTAGATTATCCTTTGTGACTAACTCTGCAGTTGTACAAGTTTGACCAGACAGCGGGGGCGCACATCGTCGCCGTTGAAAGAGGTTGTCGAGCCAGTAAAATATGACGAGTGCGCTCGGGCTACTTACAGAGCGAGTAGGTAGTGGGAGTAGCTTTAGTAACAGGTGCAACAGTGCACAACTGCTAAGAGTGGAACATGTCAAAGTAGAGAGTGTTTTAAAATGCTGCCGTGGTTCGAGTATAAGTTTCAATGATATCATGCTTGGTCAATGCTTTTTGCACTCAGATATAATGTGTTGTCAGGTTAACTGTTGGCATGTATTACAAGGGTTCCTGGTACTTTATTGTCAAACTAACACAGCTACAGAGTAATGATGTCGTTGAAAATCTTAGTTCACAGGCTTCTCCAACAATGCAACACAATAATACAGATAAGCAGACAATATTAAAGTATATTATATTAAAAGTATTCCAAAAAAGAAATATAGTTTTTTTTAAAAGTGAAAAGAAAGTGGAATAGTGCAATACGAGTCTCTATACAAGTTCCACGGCCTCATTTACCTCTATTATATATATCAAATCTACAGGTTTACAGAAGTGTCTCGATTCCTGCGGCTAAGGTTAGTTTGGTGGGGTTGACTATACTTTTTTTATGTACTTTTTGCAATAACATTTATTCAAGTCTGCAAGCTAGGTTGAAAACGAATACAGTGCTTGGCACCAAGTCACACGGCACCAACAAGAGACCAGTGTTGTCTACATTTGTTTGACTCACTCACACAAGTGGGGAACATACAGTATATCAGTTTAACCTTATAGCCATGGTAAATAGATAGCAGCAACAGAAACACCTCATCTGAGATCAGAGGCAATGGAATAAGGGCAACACTTACGACCACACGCCTTATCTTGATAACCCACTTTCCCACATAATCCAATCTACTAAGATCATCAACCCCCCCCCACTCTCCTAAACACACATGACATCCAATATCTGTGTCATGCTGAGATTGCTATCTACAGGTGTGGGAAAGGTGTCAAATATGAGGTGTTCATTCCGGTCGTGCTTCTTCTCATCTCCATTTTTTATCCCCTCCTCAGATATTTTGATCTGTTTCTGTTAATAAATCCATATAGTTGGGAAATCATTTGTAGTTGTGTATGTCTCATGGGCTTAGAGGAGGACTTACATCATTGTCGTCCTCTTCTTCTTCATCATCTGATTCTGGCCCCTCATCATCAGCTGGTTGGAATAAAGCCAAAAACACCAGAATTTAACATAATCAGTACATTTGCCTATGGAGGCATTGATAGACCCAATGATAACATATACAAACTAGGGATTTGGATTTGAGCAATTTATCAACTATTCAAAAAATAGATACTTGCTATTCTTTAAACACATTATAAAACACTACCATTTCAAAAACACACTAAATGTCCTTTTACATTTTACATTACATTGTTGGGACTACCAGTGAATTTTTTATTTTTTTATTTTATTTATTTTTTTTCAGTTATAAAATAAACAAACATTGCTCCAGATAACAGAAAAAATAAAAAACACGTAACAACAACAAACAACTAAACAAAACATAACGGGGGG